TTCTTGCATTCTGTGTTGGAAAAGAAAAAGGAGAGCATCAAGGGAAAAGAAAAGATGACTGCTTCGACTTCAGAAGAGCATGTCAAACCTCTATCAGAGAGTGAGATTCTCATCTTTGATGCATGGCTGATGGAGAAGAAAAGAAGGGAGTCTCTCATCAAGATGAAACCCCTTCCAGGTGCAGAGGGTGAACCCTCCACTGCCAATGATGTGTCTCTGGCCATGAAGAACCTGATCAGAGAATGGAGAGAGTCTCCAGTTGAGGAAACAGTTCTTGAGGTACTTCCTAACTCTCCTACCCCCCTACCATCACCTCCCAAATCTCCTTCACCCAAACCAGTCACACCAACCACTACTCCACCCCCATCTCCTCCTCAACCTCAGCAAATCCCATCTCCAACACCCAAGAAATCCTCCACACCAAAACAACCCTCACCCTGCCATCAGATAACCCCCATCAGAAGCCGATCACCCTCACCTCCTCCTCCATCACAACATCAGAGAACCCCCACTCCTCAAACCTCACCTCATCAGAGCTCCCACCATCAGAAATCCAAATCTGCCTCTCCTCAGCAGAAGCCCTCATCCAAACCTCCTTCTCCTCAGCATTCTGCTGCCTCAGCACAAAAGAGAGAGCCAGTTGTAAGGATTCTTTCCTCAACTGAAGATAATGATGGGTTTCTCACAGCTTCAATGGCTGGTGATCTTCAATCTGCAAAGAGGAAGACTCCTACTCCTCCTCTATCTCCTGATCAAACTCGACCTCAACCTCAAATCAATCAAGTACCTCAGCCAGAACCACCCAAAGCTGTCCTCATTCCCTTCCAGGAATTTGTGGAATCAGCAGAGGACTTTGGAGACCAAATGGTGGCTGGTCTGAACAAGCTACTTGTCCTAAATCAGAAGCATGATGCTCATCTGGATTTGGTGCAGTACAACATTGAGTCGGGACTTGAGAAAATCGCCAATACTCTCTCACAACTGTCAACTACATTCTTTAGCTACATGAAGACATCCAATGAGAAGGTTGACAGCATTGCTTCCGAGGTTGCCAGTCTGCACACAGTCCTGTTCTCACAATCACAGACTCTATCTGCTCAAGACAAGGCTATTCAAGACCTGTCTGATGCTGTGGATGATCTTCAATGGTCATCTGACAAACATGCAGAGCATCTGACAGATGTGGAGGAAATCTGCAAGACCAACAAAGAGTTCAGTCTCAAATTGATCAACACTGGCAAAGACAGAGATCACAAGTTGACTCTCCTGGAAGCTACTACTAAAGATATCCAATCTGCAGTTAATAAGCAGAAAGAGCTGATAGAAGGGCTAGCCTCAGTGACTCAGACACTCCCAGGTGCCCTAGAAGCTATCAAAGACAATAATGCTACAGAATTCTCCAAAATCGGACTCCTGCTTGGTGATCTTGTTGATGCCAAAAAGGGGGAAGATATCAGAGCACCTGCTAAAGGCATCAGAGCTGCAGAGGGGACCAGCACCAGAGCTGTTGATCCTGCAGAATATTTTGAAAGAGCAAGGCAGAAGCAGATTGCTGCTGGTATTCAAAGACCTCCTCCTCCTCGGTCCAAGAAAGGAAAGAAGACAGCCTCCACTCTCACTCTGGCTCAATGGCTCAACAGTGACCTAGCCAAGCCTGATGCAGCCCAATTCCAAGAAATGAAGAAACACATGACTCCCTATCAAAAGGAGAATCTGATTCTAGATAAAGATGGGCTGATAGTCATAAATCATGGTGGCTCCATGCAAGAAGCAGCAGATTGGTGGCACATGAAAGTGATCCCTGGCAAGGACTTTTCAGAAGCCATCAGAAATTATCTTGATTGCAAGCTTGAACCTGCTTGGTCAGAATATCAGAATCCCAGGAACCTTGCTACAATCAGAGCCAGAATAAATGCTGATCTGAAGGAAATAGAAGCAAAGGAAGCTGAACTAGAAGAGGAAGATATCTAAACTCTATCCTCTTGTTGCTTTAAATATCTTTCAGTAATAAGATAACCAGCTTGCCTCTATTTTGCATGGCAATTTCAAATTATTTCTATTTTGCACTCTGACTATTTATGCTCTGATACCTTTTGCTATTTCTTATTTTGATTTTTTGTTTATTTGTATCTCACTCTTACTACTTTCCTATGCTAAGTGCCCACCAAGTTTTTAAATGAAAGTTTATTTTTTTTCTTATTTTCTTTATGGTGAAAGGCACTTCTCTGGAAATAGTTTAAGGGTTTTGGCATCATCAAAAAGGGGGAAATTGTAAGGAATAAATGTAATTAGATTTTGATGATGCTATAGGATTAGAAAGTTAGAGTACCCCCAAATTAGATTTTATGTATTAGAATCTTTAATTGTAAGTATTAGTGTAGTCGACGATCAGAGTTGCTCTACTTTGGATCAGATCAGAAGTGCATCAGAACTGCTCGACCAGACTTGCTCTATGAGAACTGCTCCATCAGAGTTCTCTTACCGGAAGTCCATCAGAGGTGCATCATGAGAGTTGCTGATAAACCTGGACATCTGATAGCCGATGAGAACTACAGATCAGAAGTACTCATCAGCGGACCTATCAGAGTCAGAGTTCAGTCAGAGATCAGAACTCCATCAGAACTCAATTTATCAGAAGAGCCTGATCAGAGCCCGACGAACACTTAGAAAATTTCAAGCAACATCCAACAGCTATGAATTCAACGGGTAAAAACATCCAACGGCTAGAAGACTGTGCATGAAAGGAAAGCATTTAATGCACATTAAATGAGCCTGATACGCTGAAGGATTGATTGCAAATGATTGACCAAGGAATCCGGGAAGATATATTATAAAAATAGAAACCTTCCAAAACGGCGGTCAAGTCAACTGTACGCGCATTCAATGCAGTTGTCTCCTCCTCCAACGGGCAGACAACTTCAGTATATAAGCTACACACCGAAGAACAGAAATACAACTTTGCTACAACTCTTGCAAATCATCATTCAAGCTCTCTTGAGATTCAAATTCTAACAACCTTCAACAAGACAAGCTTACGTTGGGAAGATTCAAACTCCAAATCTCTCATCCCCAACAAACAAGCAAAGTTCATCCTGTTCTTCAACTCTTCAAGAACTTCATCAAACATCATTTGTGACGAAGCAAGTTGGAGGAAAAACTCTGTTTTTCAAAGGATCTTCTGAAAAGAAGGGCGTCCAAGTAACTGCAGTAGTGAAGTGGTGATACTTCCGGGAAGCTGAGTGAAAGGACCAGCCATCAGGACGTGGAACTGCATCCTGGGTGGCATCTAGGCTTGAAGAAGACGAGGAGTGCTTCTTAAGTGCTAGGATTTAGCTTTGTAACCGATCTACTTCAAAGCTAGTGGAACAGTGGACTAGAGGAACGAGTTGTTCCTTGAACCACTATAAAATATCCGGTGTCATTTACTTTACTGCAATTTATATTTCTGCACTTAGGATATTAACTGATTAACTCTAAGACTTGGAATCTGTGTTCAGCAGATCTTGTTCTCAGAGTTATCAGAAAGGCATTTGCCTTAGTTTTTCTGAGGCTACCCGGACAGATCAGAATCCGCTGCCAAAGCCAGTTCTGATATCAGAACCAGCCTCTCTCTGTCATCAGAATCAGACCTTCTCTGATAAGTCAGTTTTGACTTTGAGAAAAAGTTGAAAAACCAATCAGTCTATTCACCCCCCCCCCCTCTAGACTGATTACCATATTTAACGGGACCAACAATATATATATATATATATATATATATATAACATTTTATTTAATTTTCACATTCTCCTGTCTACAAAACACTAGTATATGAACTGTCAATCAGATTTCATCATATGTCCTTTTGTATTATTCAATTTATAATTATTGTAAGTCCTTCAAGAATAAAAAGATGTGTACCTTCGTATCTTCATCAAGGTCAATTAATCTTATTCATCTTTCTCCCATTTCAGTGAGTATTTTGTAATGTATACGTCATTCGATTTTGGTTAATGTATTCGAAATATTAAACCGATTATACAAATCGTTTTGAGTATTGTAATTATGTCTTATTTGTTGACATTTATTTTTGTCATTGACTTGATTTACGAATTGTTCTTTATATGTAGTAATGAGATTTCCTAATTAAGAGCCTCTTTGATAGCATGAAAATCAGCTCATTTGGATGATTCTGTTGAAATATATGAAGTTCTGGCTGAAGTGGCTGCATTTGATGATTCTGCTGATTTAAGAAAAAAATATTTTTAAATTATATTTTATGAAATAATTACATAAATATCACCAAAATAAAGATGATTTACAAAAATATGACTAGTGACTAAAGTGGTAATGAAATCATAGTAATTCATGTTCAAGTTTTGAGCTTAAGTTACCACAACACCACATTGTAGTAATGAATTGTCATATTTATGTAAATACGGAGTATGTTTTATTTTAGTAATATTCTTGTAAAAAAACAGTAAAGTAAAGAAAAAACTATATGTAAAATAGCTAAAATAGTCATCTATAGTAATTTCAGCCAATACAGCCAGAAAAGTAACTCCAACCGTACTTTTTCTGCTTATTATGCAATTCAGCGCGCGAAAGAAAAAATTACGTGTTTGGTGAAAAAGTTGGTTGAGAAGCCTGATAAGGTGAAAAACAATGCTTCCAAACGGCCTCTAAATATGTGTATACTTTTATTTATTTTTACTATATATGTTATTTTGTAAAGTTTTTTATTTAACTTTCAAAATAATATCCCGTATTTGTTGTTCGATTTTTTGTAACAGATACTATATTATACGGAGTACATGTATATGTATATACACATTTTCTAAAATTCAATATTTTTTTCTAACGAATTTTTGACTGTTTTTTCTTAGTATAAATATAATTCCAGCCCAACCCATTTTTTTAATTAGTATAAATATAAGTTTTATTATCAGCCCACCCCAAAATTTATTCATAGCCCATTCCAAAATAAATTCTCAGCACAGCCTACCCGAACACCAAATTCAACTTACCTGCTGTCCTGTGCTCCAGCTTACCGGCGCGAAAGAAAGACGGGACTGCGACGAATAGGCGGAAGACCGAACACCCTGCGACCCTCTGCCGTCCACGCCGCGCGTCCAGCCGTCCACGCCGCGCGTCCATCCGTCCACGCCGCACGTCCAGCCGTCCAGCCGTCCAGTCGGTCAAGCCGTTCAGCCGGTCCAGGAGCTACGTCTTCGACCGACGGCCGTCCTTCCTCTCCGCCACTCTGGGCTCTGCCTCCACGGACCAGCTCTGGTGCAGCGCAGGTGATTGTTTTACTTGTTTAGATTTTTACTCTCTTATTTGTGATTGTGTTAACTTGTATTATTATTTTTAGCCTTTTAGAGTGTTAGGGTTAGTCCATTAGTTAATCAATTTGATTATTAATTGAAATTTTCAGTGCATAATAAAATAGGGCAAAGATTCATTATAAATTTATAAAGATAAAAAATAGAATTAAATCTTAGATAATTAATTGATAATAGGGAAGAAGATTGATTATTTTAGATTATTAGTTTAACACCGGTAGCAGTATTATTACTTTTAGCCTTTTAGGTTTGGGGAACATTTTGTTCATAATTGAATTTTTCAGTACATATAAAATAGTGTATAATTCATTATAATAAATTTATAATGATTAAAGATAGAATTAAAGATTAGAGAATGATTTATTTAATATACAATTGAAAACCAGAGAATGATTTATTTATTGTGTGGATGTATAAGAAAGAATTGAAAATTTCAATTGACTTTTGGAATTGGGAACAATTATTAGTTTGATGTACAACACTTGTATTTTTCTTATTAGTTTTATAATTTTATAGAAGTATTTTAATTCATACCAATATTGAAAATGTTTTTTAGAATGAAAATGAAATGAATATTTACTTAGTACGAAATTGAGCTTGAGTTTGATTCGATAGATTTTTGGTGTTCGATTTTAACACACGATAAACATGCTCGAATGTAGAAGTTTAGACTATACTCTTTAATAGATTCGTGTTCGAATTATTCAATAAATACTCGAACCTTTACTAATCATTAATAAATTTATAAAATTGCACTTAAAACATTTAAATTTTAAGGTATACTTCGTATATAATTTATTCCTATGATTTGTAAGCGAACGATACGCTTCAATCCGGATCAAACCAAACATCACTATGTTCGAACTGGGCTTGAATAATTATTCAAACTTAAGACCTAGTTTGTGGTCGAGTACGAAGCTCGTTAAGCTCGGCTCATTAAATTAGAGGCAAAATCAAGCTCGATCTAAAGTATATAATTCAAAAAAAGCTCGATTCGATAATAGCCCTGAGCTAAACTTTGTATGCTATGTAGCATCGATACGGGTACGCGGAAACGCGGAACGCATAAACGGGTACGGGGATACGACAAAAAAAGTAGGATACGGATATGGGGCCATATTTATAAATATTAAAAGTTATGGTGGTGTATTTGTAAATATTAAAAGTTACAGGGGTGTATTTATAAATATTAAAAATACAATTTTTTTTAAAAATAAACATATATTATCCTTTGACGTTTACTCATTCATGACATTGAAGCATTTTACATTTTCAAGATACTTAGAAATAAGTTCATATTTTATCTCATATACATTAGTGCACCTCGAAATATAAATATATTCAATAAGTCATTAATTTAAAATGAGAAATAAGTCAAACAACTATAGTTTTGAAATTAAAAGTGAAGTACTCAAAGTTCTAGAATAATGAAGATAGAAAATAATATTTTAAAAGTTCTAATACATACTTCCTCCATTCTCCAATAGATGTCCTTACTCCTTATACGGTTTGACACAAGTTTTAAGAGGAAAATAATAGGGGTAGTGTAAAATGTGTAGTGTGTTGTGTTTAAAAGAAAAAGTAGGAAAGATAATGAAAAAGTAGGAAAGAGAATGAGGGTATATAGGTATTTTTTTGGAAAAAAAATCTAATAATGGAAAGAGAGACAACTTTTAAAGAAGATCCCAAAATGGAAAGAGGAACAAGTATTGGAGCGTTGGAGCTATTAATTTCTTGGGATGATTAGAATTAGAGATAGGATGATGGGTGAATTAGGAATAGGCCCATTAGTTGTGTACTACATAAAAGCAAGGTAAAAATTATTTTTACTTTTTCATTTTTTAAGAATTTAATTATATAAATTTTGAGTGTTTTTTTTAATTTGGAAGATTTTTTTAAAAAAGTTTATACGGGTATCCGTCAGGATACGAGTATCCAAAATTTTAAAATAATTACCAAAAAAATGGAAACTTTTAAAAATTGCAGATACGGCCCGGGAACGTACGGTACGGGTATCCTAGAGTATCGGAAACGTTCTCATTTCCGATACGCCGATACGGCATCCTAGTGAAGTATATGTGCTTCATGGCTTGTATGTATAGTAACAATTTTTCTTACTGCTTAGCTCACCCCACATCCCAATTCTGCATCCGCCCCTGCGCGTACGTATTAAACTTCGTTTGGTTCTCGTGTCGTATTTAACTAACTAGGGATGTGTACCTTCGTATCTTCATCAAGGTCAATTGATCTTATTCATCTTTCTCCTATTACATTGTGTATTTTGTAATGTATTTGTTATTTAATTTTTGTTAATGTATTCGAAATATTAAATCAATTATACAAATCGTTTTGAGATACTACCTCCGTCCCGAAAAGGTTCGCCATATTGACTTTTCTTGGTCAACGATAACAAACTTTGGACGATGATTTTAATTATTATATTTGTGTATAATTTATAATATTTCACTTTTTTGAAAGTATTTTGAATGAGGAACATTTTGATATAATTTTCATACTCTAAATAATTTCGTATTAAGAAATATCATTAGTCAAAGTTGATTGTCATTGACCAAGAAAAGTCAATTTGGCGAACCTTTTCGGGACGGAGGGAGTATTTTTTAAGGTTACTGCGCACCCTTACATATCATATATGCATTTTACTATTAAGTATAACACGTAAATTTCGATTTTGTATTTTGACACCGTAATTTTTATCTATTTTATTCATTTATAAATGATCAACAACTTAAATCACTTCTCACTTTTGTGAACCTTTTTATACAGGGGAATTTTGACTTTGCACTTCACTTTTTGGGCGATATTAGAATTTGCATTCAATTTTTAAAACTTTTAGACTTTGCACCATAACATACTACATTTTGTGAAGAAAAATTCTGAATGGGGTGCAAAGGCAATTTTTAGGGAAAATAGGATGCAAAGTCTAAAAATTTTGAAAATGGAGAGCGAAATCTAATATCAAGTAAAAAGCGGGATGCAAATTCAAAATATTCCTTTTATATACGCCATTAGGCATGTCAAAATAACCCGGCCTTTTATACTCTGTATTTTTATATGAATAGACCAAACATAGCTTGAAGTAAAATGGACTTCTAAAACTGATTTGTACTTCTATGCCTTTTGATTTTTAGTCCATTTTATTTCTTTAAGTTAGAACAATTTTGGCGATCACAATCGCTTATCCGTTCCAAATTCCAATAACATGGTTTATCTCATGTCAGAATTTTTGTAAGTAACGGTCTATGTCTTGCCTTCTAATTAAGGCTGAACGGATTGCAAGCAATTTTGTGCAGGCATTGTTCCTTCAAAAAGATACTCCCTGTGTCCCTTTTTATTTAGCTAAACACTATTTTTCAAGTCAAAGTTGTTCAAATTTGATTGATTATATATTTATAGACGGTAATATTGATCATATAAAAATTATATGAAAATGTTCTTTGTTAAAAATACTATCATAAAAGTATAAATTTATTAAGTTTTACATAAATATATTGGTTAAAATAATGGATCAAAGTTTATCATCTTTGACTGGAAAAGTCAAAGATGGCTAAATAAAAAGGGACGGAGCTAGCATGTGATTTCAATCGGCATCTTTTATGAAAAAAATGACTCAAGACTTTACTTCCTTTAGCTTTATATTAACAGTTTACTATAAGCCTTAAGAGAACATACTATGTAATTAGTAGACCACACAGATTTAGTTTTCAAATACCAACTACATCCCTTGTCTCTGCATGTGGGAAAGGGAGCAATGGAAATATAGGTTAGTTGGTGTGAGATTTTTTTTAGGATTATAGATGCAAGGGTTAAAGGTATTCTGGATATGTTTATACCACACTTAGGTATTTCCTACTATGCAGTCTAATTAGGATGAAGAAGAATAAAAAAATGACTTGATCTAATTTGGCTCAAGTATGCATTTCAACTCTGTTCCTAACCTTAATATAATGGCCTAACGAGTAAATAGTTAAAATGGCAGTCTTTTTATTTCGTTTTTGTTTTATATCAGATTAAATCATACGGAAATACTTTTAACATTTACAGAACTGATTCACACACATGTATGTCACTTAAAATTTAAAAATCGGTTTACTAATATATCTGTTTGGTTGTTTTTACTTAATGAACTCCAAAGAAGAAAAACTAGGAAAGTCCGTGTCCAAAGGAGAGAAGAATGGCTTGAGTGGAGTAGAAAAATTACTAAAGTTATATCAAAATAATTTGAGGTTGAGGAAGAGATATACATACTTCAGAAGGGGAGAAAACTGCAAAATATTTCTACATATTACTCTTAGGATGTTTTTACTTGGAATGTAATTTGTCCCAGACCAGACTTGCAAAGTTATAAAAATAGGTCCTCGAACTTTCATAAAAAAGTCAATTAAGTCCTTCTATAGGAGACTTTGTCCGGTCGTCGCGATTTGGGGCGGTTCCCGGTTAAATTTTTTGATTAAATTTTTTGAGCATCTTATTCATCAAGTCTAGTTTACTCATACCAAGTTTCAGCTAAAAATTTAATCGGGAGCGTATTCAAATTGATTCGAGAACGCAAAAATGTGCAGTTATCTTCAAGAATTAATTTGAATGTGTTCCCAATTGAATTTTTAGCTTAAATTTGGTATGAGTAAGCTAGACTTGGTGAATAAGATGCTCAAAAAATTTCATCAAAAAATTCCACTGGTAACTGCCCCAAATCGCGACGGCCAGACAGAACCTCCTATAGAAGGACTTAATTGACCTTTTTATGAAAGTTCGAGGACCTATTTGAAAGTTTTCCCAAAATACAAAGAAATCAGACCAGACCAGCAAATTACTATCCAAGTAAAAACATCCTTATAGTTCGGAAGGGGTTACGTTTCAGCTATAATCATTTCTTTAACAGGACTAGTATGGTCGATTCCTTCTTTTGTTTTTTACTTTTTGTTGCATACAGTACTCTCTCTTTTGGGACAAAAATATGTTTTTAAAGAGGGCCTATCTTTTGGATGGAGGGAGTATCAGTTTTTGCGCGCATGTTCTGACAACCCTCATATTTTTTATATCACTTTAGTTAGAAGGAATAATACCAAACTTTAATCAATCCATTGTTAAATTCCTTTCTGCGAGCAGCACAACGTTAATGTAACATGACAAACAGATACAGTGTTTGATTTCAAGAACAATGCATCGGTGTGTGCTATAAAAGTTTAAAATTTATGTAACTAGAGTCAATAGATTTTTCATGTTTCTACATTTTTCATGTTTAAAATTCAGATCATCAATATTATAAGCTTTCCCCTACATTTTTCATGTTTATATACAACCAAGCTTATGTGCAACTTTTCTCCATTTGTGCTCTGTCGTATATATTAAACAAATCTATATAAACCCATTATTATGCGTTATTATGCAGAGATTGAAGGGAAAGGCTTTGATTCATATGATGACTACACAGAATACACCCCACCAAATATTGCAATCTCCGGCTAGACTCGGCCTCCCGCCACCAAACTCACCTTCTATCCAAAACCCCGCCTCTCCTAAACCATCCAATAACCAGCTCTCTCAATCTCACAACCGTCAACACCCAAACAACTTCTCGACCACAACAACCTCTCTAACCCTTCTGTCCCTCCTCCCCCCTCTCCCCAGAGCTCAATCTCTCCTTACTCAAATGGCTTCCCTCTCTTCCAGACTCTTTGAAGTTTCACCCAATCGCACCCAATGGGTTAGTTCCTTCCGTGGCTCTCTCCCTTCCTTCTTACCTTCTCATCAAATTCCGCCACTTGACTCCTTCCCATCATCCACAAAACAAACCCTTTCTCTCTTCACTTCCTTACAGTCACAGCTCTTTGAGGCCGTTGCAGAGCTTCAAGAGATCCTTGACCTTCAAGATGCAAAGCAGAGGGTTTCCCGGGAAATTCGTTCAGAAGATTCCTCCATTCTCTCTTTTGCCCAGAAGCTTAAGGAAGCGGTCCAAGTTCTGGACATGCTAGTGGATGACTACTCCGAATATCGCCGCCCAAAACGGGCCAAACTGCCTGAGGAGAACTATTCGTTAACTACCGTCACTACCAAGCTTAAGCTGTCGGATATATTGTCTTACGCTCACAGAATCAGCTATAGTACTTTTGCCCCACCCGAATATGGTGCTGGGTCTGGCCCACTCCGTGGGGCGCTTCCACCTGCCCCACAGGAGGAGCAAATGCGTGCCTCTCAGCTGTATAACTTTGCCGATCATGATGTAGGTTTGCCCAAAACGGATGAGCGTAATGAGAAGATACTTGAGCCGCTTGTTGACCCGGCTATGGAGGAAGTCAATCATAAGCAACTTCCCATCCTGTCAAATATTGTGGTGCCTGATGGATGGGAACCCGGAATGCCTGTGGTACTGCCCATTGATATACCTCCCCCTCCACCGGGCTGGAAACAGGGAGATCCGGTTCCCCTTCCTCCGCTTTCACTCACTCAGAAGGTGGAAGGTCCGCCAATGCAACTACCTGTGGTGGTGCCTCCACAGGTCCCGCCAAAGATGCCTGAAATCATACAGGTTCGGCATGTGCAGCTTGATCTTACTGATGGCAGTAGCGACTACAGCAGTGATGATGAAGCCAGCTCTGATAGTGAAGATTGATTTTCATATGAACAAAAACAGAAAAGGTGTATTTATCTGCTTGTTTCTTCACACTGAGATATGGACTAAAATAACCTTAAATCTCATAGTACTTGTCTTATCAGATATGAGTTATTCTGCTATTAGCTTTAACCCCATTTGACTCCAACATAAAAGGTCCAATATATCTTTGCATTGAAAATATGATCACCTTAATTATTGGTTGGAGTGAATACGAGGTAAGATGAACATTTTGTTAGTGTAGATCAATGGTGGAATTGCACTTGAATGTATAGTAGAGAAGTCATATGGTAGTCCTAAAGTCCTAATGGGGGGAACAAAGTAGCAAAATGTTGTTCCGTTGTAGAAATGGACTTCAGCAGTTCAGCATGCTAGCGATCCATTGTAGAAAATAGAAACTTCTCCGTGCCATGTTGTACAGTTTTCAATTGTGGGGAAAACCCCTATCGATCAATTGCATGTCGATTCAAGACTCGAAATACATTAATACAATATTGGTATCAGGGGCGGAACCAGGGGGGAGCGAGCCGGTGCTGGCGCCACCCCTTCGCCGGAAAGTCTTAGGTATATATAGGTATGAGTTCTGAGCGCCCCGGGTCTTCTTCTACCTTCGCCGTTCCGCACCAGCTTGGAAGCTCTGCGCCTCTGCGTATCAGATCAACGACATGTCTTTCTTCCGATCTTTCAGCTGGACTTTTTAAACTTAATTAAAAGTCCAAAACGACGTCGCTGGGTTAAATGATTCGAAATCAAAACGACGTCGCTCATTAGTTAAACCTAAGAGGGTAAATGGGCGGTCGGGTGTGTGATTAAGATTGAATTTTAGAAATTTTATTCGAGGGAAACCCTGAGACGAGCAAACCGTAGAGGATTAGCCTTGGATGTCGGCGACTCCGGCGAGCAGGCGATGGATCGAATTCATCGAACAAGGTTACGGAGGTGATGTCGAACCGGAGTGTTGAGTCAGGCAACGATTTATACGGAGGTGATTTTTTTTGGCTTTTTTCTTTATTTGTTGACTCAGCAGATTTTATTGAATATTTGAATTGGGGTTTTATGGTTTACAGGTAATACAGCTTTCACGGATTAGCCAATTAGTGCGTTAGGAGTAAAATGAATATTTTATTCAATTGTTAATTTGATTTATTTAGCAATTCAACAACTAGGCATCTACTCAATTACTTATAATATCATCTCTTGATTTAGTTAGTTAATATTCTGATTTTAAATTTATTTTAATGATCCATAACTACTTGTTTATTGGTTTAAATTGTTTTACTAGTTTAAAAAACCTAAATAAAATAAAAATGACTATTATTCACAAAAATATTTTTCCCACGTCAATAAAATGACTAAATAAAAGAGATTTTAATGATTTTACATTTTTTGTAATTTGAAACTTCTGAATTTCTAATATTTTAATTTTGTAGGTTATCTATGTTTATATTACAATTTGTAACACGGGCAGCGAGTCACCTAAATAAGGCAAGAAGAAAACAATAGGAAAAAATGTTCTCGTGTGAAATTCGATCCAGATATTGTGGGCGTTGATGTATTTCTTAGCCCCGGCCCAAATATTGTTCTGGTTCCGCCACTGATTGGTATCAATCAAGAGTCGAGACTTGGAAGTTCAAAAGTATCAACTTAGGAACTTAATGACGGAAACTAGCAAATCTGCAGATGCAACTCCAAAGGGTGTATGTTTTTTTTTTATATAATTCTTTTCTTGTTAGTTTTTGAAGAAATTCTTCCATGGATGATATGATACATTATTTTTCATGAAATATTTTGTCCACAAATAACTTATAATAAAAAGAATCCAGGTTCCAGAGTCGTGAATTCTGAAGTCCTGGTTTGGTACTTCCAATCATTCCGCTTTATAAGAGATGCTTTCAAATCCTTTTTTGATAAATGCGTGTTCCGGGTCCTGTATTAATAAAGCATTTGGTGTGTCCTCGCATGATTTCTTCTGAGGTAGCAACATGAAGGTCATCCATTTTAATAGTTAATACTAATATCATATTACCAATAAATTAAGATGATTATAATGATGAATGGACCTTTCGGTTTCATTATGGTTACATACTTCAATCGCTCTCAATAATCAACATTGATGTTGTTTGTTTCACTGCTTTTATGTATTCCTAATTCGCAGGTCTTAAAAAAAGTATAGACGGGCAACTCTTTCTGCAACGTTAGAATCAACTAAATAATTTTCAATCGTTGCCATTTTTTTTTTAATATTGTGTGGTACATAGGGGTGGGTTCGGTTCTTTCGGTTCGGTTTTTACCTAAAACCAAATACGGAACCAAAGTAAAAGTTCGGTTCGGTTTTGGTTCGGTTTTACACTCCAAAACACGGAACCACGGTTTGATTGGTTCGGTTTGTTTCGGTTCGGTTTTGGTTCTTTCGGTTTTTTACCAAAAATTTGTCATTTGATTTAAAATTGATATAATAGTTGGAGGGATCAAACATATTACATAAAAAAAATACAAGCATACTAGAATAAATGAAGTAAAAATAAGAATAAAAAACATGTCTTGAATTATATGAGTATGAAGGAGAGATATAAGTGTATATATTCTTAATTTACATGGTTTGTGACTAGCTTGAAAAAAGTTCATGAATACATACATCATATGTGATATAGCTGAGATGAATATTTATTTGTTTTATCAATGTAAAAAATGTAAGTTACATAAAAATATAATTTAATTACTACTAATAACATCTAAAAACAATAATCACGCAACAAATTGCAACATACATACATACATAAAAGACATAATCGATCAATATAGCTACATTATTATGGGCAAATGAATGAGTAAATGCATTTATAAACTAAACATAACATAAACATTATTTCTGTAGCACAAAAAAAATCAAAGACTATTGATGATATTAGGATTAATGATTAAAAATTAACAAATAAAATTTCATATTTTAATTAGTTCGGTTTGTTCGGTTCGGTTTTGAAGGGTTAAAACCAAAACCGAACCAAACAACTACGGTTCGGTTCGGTTTTTTACATTCGGTTTCGGTTTTTAGCGGTTCGGTTTTATTTGGTCGCGGTTCGGTTTAATTTGATTCGGTTTTCGGTTTTCCGGACCCAGCCCTAGTGGTACATGCCAAATTTGTTATTAATTCTGGCGAATATGACTGTTGAGTTTTTTTCACTGGGGCTTCGATTTTTAAGTGTTCACCTTGAATTAATTTCTCGGGTTAACACAGATCTGTACTTTGTTGAGTTTTTTTCCAAAGAGGGGTACTTTCTAATCTTATTTCCTGAAACAAGGTACTTTTAAACTTATTTCCCAAATAGGGGTATTTTTGCCCAGTCATCCCGCCATGTCAACACCCAAATTAATTTCAATTTCCACATCATTTACCCGCCACATCACCACATATACTTAATGGTGCGTACTGCGTAGTATAGAAACAACAAAAAATTGAAACTTGTGAGAATCGAACCCAGACTCATTCATTTCCCTTCCATCTTCCAAACCGCTCACTACAACAAAGAGTTGGTATTTCGATTACTATTACAATTATTATTACATATAGAGCTAAACCTCAATATAAGTAAATGAAAATGCAAAATCTATCTCCGTTCCATTTTTTTCGAAACTTAACATGAGATTAACATTATTATCAATTCTCTCTATTATAAATAATTCAAATTTTAATAATTAAAATTTACATAAAATATCATTAAAATTTCTGTAAATTTGTATAATTCAAATTAAAATATAATCAAGAATTTATGTCATAATCAAATGAATATAATGAAACTGTTTGACAAAAAATCAAATTTGCAATTCAATTTGGAGCGGAAGAGTATAACTATAATAATAATTATAATAATAATAATAATAATAATAATAATAATAATAATAATAATAATAATAATAATAATAATAATAATAATAATAATAATAATAATAATAATAATAATAATAATAATAATAATAATAATAATAATAATAATAATAATAATAATAATAATAATAATAATAATAATAATAATAATAATAATAATAATAATAATAATGTTGATGATGATGATGATGATGATGATGATGATGATGATAATAATATCTATAATAACTACTTTATGATAATAACTAATAGTAATAGAAATAATAATAATATTAAGAATAGTAATAATAAATAGCAAATATAATAATAATAATAATAATAATGTTATTCTTATTATTAATTGGAATAGAGATAAGTTTATTATTATAATTATAACTATTGCTGCGATTTATATTAGTATTATTATTATTATAACTAAACGTAAATATAAGTAATAATAACTATATTGACTATAATAATATCTATAATAACTACTTTATAATAATAACTAATAATAATAACAATAATAATATTAAGAATAGTAATAATAATAATATGAATAAGAATAATAATACTAAAATAAAACTTATTTACATAAATATGATTATTCATTACTACAATGTAGTGTTATGGTAACTTATTTTTTATGTTAAAAACTTGAACATGAATTACTATATTTCATTGTTACTCTAGTAACTAGTCATATTTTTGTAAATCATCTTTATTTTGGTCATATTTATGTAATTCTTTCATAATTATAATATTATTATTATTATTATTTGGGACGAAGGTAAAGTTTATTATTATAAATAGCAATAATAATAATAATAATAATGAATAAGAATAATAATAATGTTATTATTATTAATTGGGACGGAGGTAAAGTTTATTATTATAATTATAATTATTATTACTGCCATTTCTATTAGTATTGTTATTATAACTAAACGTAACAAGTTAACAAAATTCATAACCTACAACAAATTGTGGCTGTGGTGTAGTGGTGAACGAAGTGGAATGGCACAAGGGTTGGCGAGGGTTCCATTCTCACTGACGTCAAGCTTTTTGTTATTTTTATACTCTCCGTATGGTTTAGTTAGGTGATGAAATGGATGTCTGATGTCGTGGGAACATGATGTGGAAATGGAATTTACCTTGGATGTTGACATGGCGTGATGTGATAAATTTAAAAGTACCCTGTTTTGGGAAATAAGATTAAAAAGTACCCCTCTTCGGGAAATAACTCCATATGTTGTTAAATATGGACTAAAATTAATGCATCGATATGTAATCGAAAAGTTAATTTAGCATAATGGTGTATT